AAAGGAGCAGCGCCGCATCGCCGAGGAAGAGGCCAAGGAGAAGGCCATGGCAGCCTTAGACTTCATCGGGGGGGGTCTCCGGAGCTCCTGAGCTCGAGGAGCGCGAGCGGGAGCGAAAAGAGGAAGGAGGCCGAGGAGCAGGCAAAGAAGGCGCCTCTCTGCTCCGGCGCGAACGCTGTGAACGCTTGCACACGGCCAGGATGATGTATATAGAGACACCCTTCAGCGCTGGAAAAGCATCGTGGAACATGTGGGCTTGTAGCATGAACACCTCAAGCGTTCAAGCATGCTACTGCTTTCTGCGTCTCGCGTCTTACAGCAAGCACAGCAGCTGCGTCAACTCCAAGCTACTCTGAGCCAACTTCAGCCCATTCCGGAATGCTGTTCGGCTTCGTTGTCTTTTCGAATGATCTAAGCAATTCGAGCCACTCCAGAGCCCAACCGATTTGTTTTTGCCAAAACCATTCATAAAACAAAACCCGAAGTGAAATCGTGGGGCATTGGCTGTCGAAACTTGAGCCCATTGGAGCGCAGTGACAGCGACTTTGTAGAGACTTGTGACCAATGTTGAGAACTTCGAGCCGACTTCTGTGCTAAACCAACTTCTTTTCGCGTGCTATCCGTTTCGTTCGAACTTGATCCATCATGACCGAATTTTCCGGAGCGTAACCGCGCAATGAGCAGGTAGCCAGAGCTCCAAAGCAACTCCATTCTGTTTGCTGCCCAGTTTCATTCCGGAAACGGCCCATTGTCTTCAATCTTTCATCATTGTGCGGCAAGCATAAAACATTATTGAAGAGTGCAGAGCTTGGTAGAAAAGTGCCTCTCTTTCCTGGTTGGCTGCATGTCGGCCACCGATTTTGAGGTGAAAACATTTCGGAGTCGAAAAAAAGAGTCCAAAGATTAAATAGCTGTCACGACTGTGTTGCATGACATGTGCTTGTGGCGTTTAGAATATAGGGTTGATGCTTAGGCGTTTTGTGGGTTTTAAAGTTTACGGTTTAGGATTCTAAGTTTGGTGGGTTGTGCGGTAGGGTTAGAAATAAGGTTAAATACCCAGACTGGTGGGTTCAAGTGTTTCTAGGACTGGTTTTGAAGTTTGTTGTGGGTCTTTGTGGCATTTAGAGTATCACAAGGTCTTAGAGTTTGGGGGCTTGAATGCACTTCCGGGTTCGTGGTTTAGGTTTGGGTCAGGGTTTAGGATTGTTATGGAGGCTTGCTTTGAAGCGGGTGTTGGTAGGGTTTAGGGTATAGGGTGGGTTTCTTGGTTTATTGGTACGTTATAAGGTTCAGGGTTTGGGGTTTGGGCTAGTCTTGAGATTTTGGTGGGTTGTAGGGTTTAGGGCTTAGGATGTGTCTGAGATTTTGGTGGGTTGTTGGGTTTAGGGTTTAGGATGGGTCTTGAGTTTTTGATGGGTTGGAGGGTTTAGGGTTTAGGGTGGTTTTGAGATTTTGGTGGGGTCAGGGTTTAGGGTGGTGTTGAGATCTTAGTGGGTGTTAGGGTGTTAGGGTTTAGGGTTTAGGATGTGTCTGAGATTTTTGTCATTGTGGGTTGTAGGGTTTGGGGTGGGGTTTAGGGTGGTCTTGAGATTTGGTGGGTTGCACGGTTTAAGCCCGTCCGAACGCTCACTGCTCACCTGCGCAGGCAAACGTTTGACAGAGGCAAAGCTGCGGCCACTCACCTGTGCAGGCACCATCAGATCCGCGCGTTGTTTTGCTCACATGCAGTGTTGTGGATTTTGGATTTGATTTGCACGTTGATACAGTTCCTGAGGGTTTGTCGCAAGTTGAGGCTGTTTTCGATGATGGCAAAAAGATGACGAGGATTTATTGGGCTGTTTTTTCCCTTGACGGTGCGCAGGGCTATGGATGAGCCATTTGCGGATGTGAATGTCTTTTTTTTCACGTGTAGTGCAGTGGGTCTCAGATCCCTGCCCTTTGAACACACCGTTTGAACAGCGATAGACGTTTTGTGACGTTTTACACATGTGAAGCTGATTTTGGCATGAGCCCAGTTTTTGAGCATGTTGAATTGCAGAATTCCGCTGAACTGAAGGCTCCAACCAGATTGGAAAAGCGTCCGAGTTTCACATGTTGCGATGTGCAGCGCATGTGAGTTGTTCAAGAAGCTTCTCCGCCGAAATGCAAGACAGCACATGTTCTGATTGTATTGATGTTCCTCCACGCATGCTAACAAACGCTTGCAAAAACTGCAGCTGTTGAAAACCCAAAAAGCTTTTAGGTATTCGGGTTTGGAGGTCAACGTATTAGGTTGATTTTTAGCATTGAGAGGAAACAAGAGTTTGGTGTTTTATTGGACGATCGGAAAGGACATGACGAGACGACGATAGGATGAATGCTTGCCACTCGAACCACGACGGCCACTGCGATTTACAACAACAGGAACTGTGGACAAGAATCGTCAGGCTGGAAACAGGATAGAAGGTGCACCTGAAAACCATTCTTTGCGAGCGTTTTGTCCGCGCGGGATTTCAGGATTTTGGGTTTATCAAGCAAAACTGGGCAAGGGACCGCATCAGAAGCCCACCAAGTTCCACTCAATCAAAAACGTGTTGTCGCGTGTTCTCGTGTGCACATAGTGGTCTCTCGACATATCAACATAAAAAATTTCATTTTCGCAAACCAAAACATGCAGGCCTGCGGCAGGGGCGTGGTTCGTCAACCTGGAAAGTGCCCCAGCCAAAGTAAGTTGCCATGGATCACGTGTCGCAGAAGGACCGGAAGCAGAACGGGATTGTGGAGATGATACAATTGTCGTCCGAGAAGTGCACTGGGACTGCACGCCCCTTCTTGGCGCTGAATGTAAGATTCCTTTAGTGCCACCACAGTGTTCGGAAAAATCATAGCTCAATCGCTCGACCAAATCTTTTTCGCTATGACCTTTGACAAAGCAAAGAAATCAATGTTAGAGATGTTAGTTGTGAAGTCCGGGGCGGCAGGCCCGAAACAGATTTTCCCGAAACAGATTCCAGTCCCAGAAGCTTTCTCGGCCGGTATTCGTTAAAAGACAATAAACATTGTGTCCCAGCATTGGGCCCGAGCTTCCGTTGGTTTGAGACACTTTGAGAGCAAGGGCTCCGTAGTTGGTTTTCTCCATTGGCCTGCAGGCTTGCTTACACTTGTTTGGCAGCGCGATGCAAACTGCTCATGTTTGGAAACTTCGTAAATAGACTTGGGGCTTGAGTCGAGCAGATGGAGCATCAATCCCAAAAAGGTTTGATCGCCTTTGTTTTCGCGGCCGGTGTATCGGCCTGTGTGCTGTGGCTTCGTCGGCGGCGGCGCCTGCCACCTGGAAGCCCGTGGTCTTTGCCATTATTGGGTGAGACGCTGACCTACGTTCGAGATCCTTTGGGCTTCATTGAGGCGAAAGTTTCGACAAATCCTTGCATTTGCAGTCTTTTGTCCTGCTTGCAGACGTGCTAGTCGAAGTTGCGCCATCCACTCTTCTGGTCTCCTGTTGCCCCCCTGTGCCAGGCAAAGCTTTCACAATATGGAGGCACGTGCAGGTCGAATTTGCTGTTTGCACCAACGGTGATTTTGGCAGTCACGGATGCCAATGCAAAGCTCCTTTATTCGGAAAGGGATATGGCATGGCCAACACACTTTCAAAAATTGGTTGGCAAGACGTCCTTGCCAATGGTGAATGATCCACTCCACAAGAAAATTCGGACCCTCAGCTCTCGCCCTTTCGGCGACAGACAGCTGGACACTTACTTGCCATGTTTGCAAAGGCTGTCAGCCAAGCACCTGGAACTTTGGGCGGAGGAGGGACAATGCCGGGAGTTGCACATGGAAATCAAGAAATATGCTTTCGAGTGTGCCGAAGCTGTCATCCTGGGAGTTGAGAACGATCGAATCAAGAGCGACCGTTTCATGGAGCTTTATGAGGAGGCTTTCAAAGGATTGGGCTATGTCTTGCCGTTTGATATTCCAGGGTTCCCATTCCACAAGTGCATGCTGGCGCGAAAATTGCTGGTACAGGAGTTCCAGACACTGATTGAGAAGAAGCGCAAGAAGCTCAAAGATCCATGTCGGATGTTTCAGGTCAACACCATGCTGGACTCCGTGCTGCGGCTTTCCGCGTTGAGCAATTTGTTTGTTCGTTGGAACGTAGTGCCGTCATGAGACTTGTTCTCACAAAAGTCGTATCGTAACGCGAAAACTCTTCAGCAACCTCGGCGTTGGTGATGGCCGATCTCGTCCAAGGCAGGCAGAGGAGATGAGCAACGAAGAGGAGCTTTCAGACTTCTGCGTAGCGATGATGTTTGCAGGGCACGACACCACGCTGGCCTCCATCCAGAGCTGCTTGCACTGGCTGAAGCAATGTCCTGATGTGGAGTCCCTTCTGCGGCAGGCACGAGTCTCTTCACTGACGCGTAAAGCCAAAGCTCAAGCACAGAATCATGTAATCATGTAAGCCACAGTGGTGTGCAGGAGGTTCGCGAAGCTTGGGATGGTGGGTGCCGGCTCACGCGACGAATCCTGGACTCCATTCCTCAGACACGCGCCTTCCTGCAGGAAGTCTGGCGCATCACCCCCCCCGTATCGGTGGTCACACGAGAGGTGAGTAAGGATACAGAGATTGATGGCTATGTCGTGCCCAAAGGATGGACCATGCTCTTTGCACCTGCTGGAAGACATAGCAAGGCAGAGGACAGCAGGAGCTTTTCCATCCAGCGCCATCTGCGTGACGGCAAATTCTTTGACTGCACCTTCGACCCTGTGTACTTTGCCTCGTTCGGCGGAGGAAGTAGAATGTGCATTGGTCCCTTGTCCGTAGTTCAGTAGCGACACCTTGGGTTGGTTCGTCAGTCTAAGCTCTTTCTACTTTCACCACAAACTTCACCTTAAAGCTCCATGGCCTTTTTATCAGGACACAAATTCGCCCGCGACGAGATGCTGGTCTTCCTCCTCCATTTCCTGCACGGCTACGATGTACAGCTTGCCAGCTCTAAGTTGCAGAACTTCCCTTTTCGCCTCTGGCGTGTCCAGGGCACCATTTGTAGAGCTGAGGGCTAGGCTTCTTCGGCAAGAGAGACTCCAGAACCTGCAGGCCTGCCATTCGGGGTTGCAAACAGACATCGGAGCTGCAGCTGTTTTGTTTCTCTGCGGTGGATAAGCCAGGTTGCTTCTTCGCGAGAACGGCACTGTGATTGGGGGTTTCTTGTTGAACGCGGTTCACATACGTGGAGGGCTCTTGCGGGAGATGCTGGGTTCCAATTTTCTGAGGGCTCGCATGCTAGGCGTTGCTCAGAAAGTCGCAATGCGGCATGGGACCAGGATCGCAGTGCTGGGGAATCATTGCATGCCCATCTGGCTGAGCAGGCTGTCATCACTCATTGCCTGGATAGAGACTGCAGTCTATTAAAGAGCAGAACAGATGAGGTTGGTTGGACTATGGAAGTTGCGATCAAACATTCCATGGATTCTTGCATAGGGCATAGGGCTATGCAGTATATGAGAATAGTGCACATGGCATGCTCTGCTTGGTTCACGAGTGTCTGAAGAGTGAGTAACAACGAGACACAGAAAGAAATACTTGTTTGGACATGCCATGTGCGAGAATAGATAGCTTGCACTTGCCGTAGATTTGCCATCGAGAACACCATCTGCCATGCATGCCTTGCGTCCTCGATGTCTGCGTCTGGCAAGCACGCACAGGCATACGCATGCTCGTTCATGCTGCAGTCTTGCAAGACCAGTTTGCATGTTTTCGCGTTCGCTCCTTCCGGCAGGCTTGCATCAGGGCTGGCTGGTCTTGCTCAAGCGAAGGCTCCATCTCAGGTGTTCAGGAGGTTGTGGATTGCTTGCGACGCAGGAAGAGGCTGCAAAAGCAGCGGAATGGCCCACGGCCTTGAGAGCTGTTTTGCCTTTCCTGGGCCTGGTCGGAGCTGCTTTGATGGCAAGCGCCACCGCGCCAGTCGCAAGTAGCCCCTTGAACGACACAGACTGCTGAGCAGCTGAGGCCGGAACAGCAGCCCACGCCTTCTACGATGGACTCTGGGTTCCGCTGCTGCGAGATGGCCAGTCTGCGGAAAAGGCTTCTGCAGTTCAGCTGATCGGAAGCTCCGGAAGTGTTCGGAGTCGTATGAGTCGTGCTCGTGTCGCAGGAGGGGTCGCGAGGAGCACATCTGGAAGTTTCGAAATAAGTGTCGCATCGCCGAATCTTCGTCCCTGAAAGAGCGCCGGTGTATCTGTCGCCGCCCTGGAACTGACAGACGCACCATGGCACCCGCCAGCTGTAGCTGTCGCTTTGCTTAGTTCGAAGACACTCGGAGATTGGTCGTAAAGTATGGGCTATTCGTTGTTTCCCGGAGGCTGCAGAAGAGACTCAACCTCTTCTGGACACGCATGTGGCTGCCGCTGCATTGAAGCATCTGGAGGGCGGCGAGGCGCGGGGCAAAAGCGTTTTTTGCGCTTTGTGCAAAATCACCTTGTCATAGTATAACAGTGTTTGCTTTTGAATTGTGTCAGACATATGTTTGCGAGCGCTCCGAAAGCATCCACACCGTGCCACACCTCTGGACCCGTTTCGGAGCAATCCTGTGCTGTAAAACGAAGCTGTGCTCTGCAAGGTGGTTGTGGTGGACGGGGTGCTTTCCGGGTCACTGCTGGCTGACCTCCAACGCGATTTGCAGTCATTGGTGGCGCAGCTTGGTTCAGCTTTCTTTTGAGCGCATGCGGGATGTCGCACAACTCGACCGGTGAAAGTGAAAGTGGCCTCTACACGTCAGCCTTCTTCGTGAAGTGCTCCGGGTTAATCGCATCGAAGAGGGGTGCAGTCCCCGCTGAGGCTTCGACTCCCGGCGGCCTGCTCCCTAACCCCAAAGTTCAGGCCGGAAACAGCGAGGTTCGCACCTTGACGGCTTCAGCATCCTGTCGCATGGACCGTGCTGTGCATGCTGTGCTTCCGGCTTCCGGGTTCCCATGAGCAGACCAAGGCACGGATCGGGTCTGCTACCTGCGGGATCCGCAGTCCTTCTCTCCATCGGATGAAACAGGCAGATGAAAGCTTCACGAGCACCTCTTGTCCGCTGGGCTTGAGCCTGGGGGGAAGATTGTGTGCCAGGCCAGGTGCCGCTGGGCGGAGCAGTGTTGCAACTTTGCCACCGACGGCTGAGGGCAACAGCCCTGGCGCTGGAAGCAGGCTCAGTGCCAGGGGCATGGGGCGATGCAGATCAAACCGGTTTCCATCCTTCATGCGAGGCTCCCGAGATATGTCGCGGAAACGAACCTTCGTGGTGCCTGCGTGGACACAGCTAGCCACTCGCACGGCAATCAGCAATGCGATCGGTTCGGTTGCGTGTGGATGGATTCAGGCTCAGTACACAGACGGCAGCGGCTTCTACAAGTGGCACACGGATGGCTGCTCGGTGTCGCTACGCATCGCTAAGTTATGTTTATGTGGCTGCCAATGTCTTGGCTATCCTGCTTATTCTGCCACCCCTAAGGACTCGAGCAGGGATCTGGGTTCAACCCTTTTGGCTGGTACTTCTGGCTCCAGAGGGGTGCAGTCAGGCCGGGAACTGGAGGTTGATCTTGATGACGAAGAAGAGGATGGTCATGGTGGTGGTGGTGACGACATGATGTTGGGTAAATCTTTTAATGCAGCGATATGCTATCCTGTCTTTTCCGTCCGACTGTTGGGCCACACATCACTGGTCTTGTCATTTCTTGCCTTTTCGGACCATGATGGCGACCACACTTGGCTAGGCGAAAATGAAGATGGTGATGGTTGCACGCTGCTTTGGGGTCTGCCACCCTTCACCCCCTTGTGGTTCAGGGCTTGCTAGTCCTCGTGTTCAGGGGCTGTCCAGAGTTCGAATGCTGGTTGTTGGAGGTGTGTCTTTTCTAGGCCTGCAGAGCATCCATCTTCCTGAGTTAGTTAGCTGGACTGCGAAGTATCGGCACTGTTCCGAGAAGCATTCTATGATTCCATGTGGAGTTAAGAGTTTGGCTTTGAGGTAGCACTGATCATGGTTTTCATTCTAAATTTCGAAAAGGGCGTTGGTCTACTTGGTCCGAAAAGACCACAGAGAACAAATACACACAGCGTCGGCATTTGCACTCATGTCCCAGTATTCGCTGTTCAGTTTCGACCATCTGGGATTCCCTTAACCATTGGAATTCCGGGTGCCTGGAAACCTCAACTGCATCTTTGGGTGCGAGCATATGTTTGTGGTGCGGGCTCTTCTTTGCGAAGTACTGCAGCTTTCAAATACGCTGCATCGTCTTGCCATTTTTCCCAGCGCCTGTGGGTTGATGCTCCAGAATATCATAACAACATTATTGTAATTTGTGCCTCCAGGGCAGCTTCAATGCCCGCGTTCAGTTTCGACTTAGTATTCTGAAAGCGTCTCAAAGGCCTCCCGGCAGTCAATGCTCAACGCAACATGTCCCCTTTGCAACATGGGGAAGGGCTAGTCGTGGATAAACGATGCTCGAGTGATGTGGTTTTCGTGTCAGTCTCGTGAGTCCATCTCGCAGAACTGCCAGGCGAAGGTCTATCACTGCAATCCTGTACTTGAATGAAGAGGTGCCACTCCTTCAGTCTTCTCAAAGGAAGAAAGTGCCCCCTTCGACCCTGCCAGGACTGGCCCAGCGTGGCCGGTGGAGCTCTGCGCTGCCGTGCGACAGTGGCTGCGCTCCGGGGCCCACAACCACCGACCGCTAACGGAGTGGCAGAGATTTTGCCGAAGGGAGGGCACTGACCCCGGCAGTCTTTCGGTGCACCATATAGGTCTGTTCCATGTCTGATGAACCTCGCGGGGCAGAGGCGATTGGTGCTTTTCGACTCCCACAAGATCGAGCACGAGGTGGCGTTTGCTGTTCGAGCAGGTGTAGTATATATGCTGCTCCCAACAGAGAGCAGGTGGTCGCTACAAGACGTGACAGATGGGCTTTGACCGTGGCACGCTCAGCCAGCGCAGCGAATCACCTTGCAAGGTTCGGGTCGTACACTCTTTAGATCGTCCACTCAGGTGTGGCTCCATGAATAACTTTGCTTCGTACCTGTGCAAAGCTGTGCGGCTCCTGCCCGGAGTGGAGCGAAAGCCTGCGACCCTGCTGTGCCCGAGAATGGAATTGAGCATGACTGTCACTGTTGCTCAGACGTGGTTTGCTACATCTGGCCCAAGCTGGTAGATCCCCCAGCTTTGTCGGATAGCGAACTTAGCTTAAAGAGTCCTGCCGGCTTCTTTGGCAGGCGTGGCCTTGCTGGTCATGAGTCATAATTGCATCAACCAGAGCGGCATGTAAAGGTAGACTCTGGACGCAATCAAGGCACATGAGTCCGTGTCAGGCAATGATTCGGATGAGGCATCTGCTTGTAGCCACTCGGTTTGAAGAGTTGGTGTTCAAGGTCACTGCATGCGTTGTCCTGCGGTCTCAGCGTTCTTCATGATCTCAAGCTTACTTGCCGTCGCTTCTCAGGTTTGCTTGGCCGTTCTGGCCCCAGAGATTGCAGACGCACGTGTCAAGGGCTTCTTCTCCAAGTACAACAAGGCACGGGCCCCGGCCTGCGTGCCTTCATGCCTTCTCTGCTGGTCTGCCAGAGCACTGCACTCCGTGAGAAAAGGACAGAGCTTGCTTCATCTGCTTCGCCGCTTCGAGAGTGCTTATCTCTCGGCTCAGGTCCTCAATGCAAAGGAATGTACTTGCAACTGCTGCATTCGAGAGCGCAGGCCGGGATCGTATCGCGACGTGCGGGTGTTTCTAACAGTAGAGCCTTCGACCCATGCCAGGAGACCCAGCGAGATCAGCGACCCCAGCAAGTCTGCCTTTAAGCGCCTTGGCAGATTCTCTTGCCGATTTGCTCCCCGTGCAGGCATTCTGCATCCGCATCGATGCTTGCAGTTTTGGCGAGATGTCACTTTGCAGCTAGCTGCTGCGAGAGCCCTTGGCCCATCACAGGTGCTCCCTAACGCCGCAGAGCGATCACAACTTTGCCGCCTACCAATGCTCGAACACCTGCACAGTGATGAACGACCCCATCTTCCCTCGTGGCTTGCTTCTACAGTCTGAGAGTGCAAGCTCCATGTTCGGTGCACACCCCCTGGTAGAAGACAGCTCCTTAGGTGCGGCTACGCTGTCCGCGAACCGCTTCTGCTTCTACCACTGCATACCGACCTCCGGAGGCAGGGCTGAGAAGTGGGAAGGTGATGTGAGGTCATGAGGCGATGGGAAAGATCTGCCGACATCAGGCTCGGCGTCTGCCCTCGAAGCGGCTGCGAATAACCAGGCCGACCTCGGCCAGGGGGCCCTCCCTCCCTCGCCCTCGCTCTCGCCTTTGCCCTGGCTGCTCTGGCTGCTCTGGCTGCTCTGGCTGCTCTGGCTGCTCTGGCTGCTCTGGCTGCTCTGGCTGCTCTCGCTGCTCTCGCTGCTCT